ACAATTTAAGTCATTTTGTCAAAGCAGGAAACATGAAATATAAGCAATGTCCTCCCAGGGATTCGAATTCACTTATCCCGACTGTTGATCGGACGTGCTTGCAATTACACCACGAAAGCACGCGGTAAAGAGGAAGAATATAATTTTCATACGATATTTGTAATAAGGAAATGATTTAGGATTACACTTTTCTGCTTGGAAAAAAAACTTGTTTTCCTCACATATGTGAACTATTTTTACACATAAAATATTTAGACTTGCATTATTTACAATAAATAACAGAGGCATACGAGCGTCCGGAGTACATTCGTAGAGCTTGAACACAAAAGTACTCCAAAAATATTGGCAAATTTCGCAACGCTGATTAAAGCTATAACATGGAATTAGAGAATTACATGGTGTGTGTAAATTCACCTGGCACTGACTATCTGTAATGTCTGATACTGAGAATGGCGGGATAAATATTGTTGTTAAATGAGATAAACATTGTTAACTCAAATCTTCATCGGCAGACATGATGGGGTTCGGTCATCGCATTCTTCAAGAAATAATCTTTGAGCTTCTTTAAGACTCCTGGTCCAGAGTTACTCAGGGGGATTAAGATGGAGAACGAGAGAGAGAGAGATAGCTTCGTATGGCGGTTACCCACGAACACCGAACCTTGGAACAAATAGCTACCAGTCTTAAACGTAATCCCCCTTTAAGGAAAATGGATGAACTGCAAGTCTCTACGATGGAAGAAGTTGGATATTTACTTAGCCCATTAAACCGATAAAATAGTTGGGTGATTAAAAGAATGATTTTGCAGAATCGTGCACATTCGCGGAACTGGAAAAGAGTTACCGAGCGGAAGGATAGATGGAACCGGATATTTGGAACTACCCCGAAGCATAACGTAAAACAAATTTATGTGGCGTAAAACTTTCTAATTATTCAGAAAATGATGTTGTACATTTATCTGCTTCGGTTCAATCGAAATGTATTTTATAGCTATCGAAATGGTTGAGCTTAATGTTGACTAGATACATTTCACAGTGTAAGCAGAAAAGGATGCATCTTGTCAGATCATGGTCAAATCGCGCCAGTCTCCTAATTAAATATAAATTATTCACAGCTGATTATCAACTCCGGATAACTTAAACGAAACTCTCTTCACTTAGAAAATCTTAGGTGACTTCAAATCTTAGGTGAGCTTAGATCATTACAAGGTTTTTTTAAAATCTGCACACTATTAAGGCTCATTTTCCTCGAGTACGCAAGAAATTTCTCAGGATTAAGTCAGAAATACGTCTACAAGTTTCATCACATCGCATGACAAAAGTCTAAAGGCTACTGGAAGTCAGATTGCTAGTTTAGATTAGTTTATTTGAATATGACAACAAGAATTGTCTATCTAAGGAAGGGCATGCTTTCGGGGAGAACTTTCTTAAGGAAACTATCTCGTATTCACGGTACACGCGAATGTGGGTAAAACACGAGAACTAACCATGCATGTCAGCCCGCTCACCTGCGGTCGGGTCGAACTACTTACAGAATCCCACGTGAGGTTTCATAATTCATAAGCTTCAGATTTACATTTTAAATAAGCCCCAGATCACGCAATTGTTCAAGTTGGCGCTGAACCAAACGTTCTTTGGTGCTCAGCCATTTAAAAAAAAAGGACAAATATATTCTTTAGTAGCATATACTAGAAATTAAACTCCTAACATACCTTAAGCGATTTATCGCTATGTCTGGACAGCAGAGTCTTAGGAAGGTTTTAAAACAAACCTTTTTATTAAATCAGAACTGAATCATAAATGCACGCTTAGCGCTTGACAAATCAACCAACTACGTGTAGCGATACTTGTAAGTAACATTTAAATTCAATCATCACATTATCAAATAATCTGTCAAAGCGTGTTTCACCGATCATTCGCATGTTACCGCTTTGAAATACATCACTGAGATACAGATGTATTATTAAATGTTTCCCAGCAAGATATACTTAAAGTGTTTTCCTTTTCTATATATTACCAAAATTAATGTCCAATTCAGTCACATCTTTTGTCATACAGTCATACAGTTCTTCCAAATTTCATTACGTATTGTTACGATTTTTCTTTTCTGACACCAGTTGTTACGTTATTTTCTTCCTTCACGTTCGTACGGGGTTTGTGTGGATTTGGAGTGAATAACGACGACCCTCGATGAAGTATCGAAATACACTTTATTGGCCGGTATTAATTAGGACAACTCCAAAATCTCGTTCACAGTCGTCGAACTGTTTAACAAACACACTTTTTTTTTTTTTTTTTTTTTTTTTTTTTTTTTTTTTTTTTTTTTCTTTTTTTTTTTTTTTTGTTTTTTTTTTTTTGTTTTTTTTTTTTTTTTTGTTTTTTTTTTTTTTTTTTTTTGTTTTTTTTTTTTTTTTTTTGTTTTTGTTTTTTTTTTTGTTTCCCCCCCCCCCCCCCCCCCCCCCCCCCCCCCCCCCCCCCCCCCCCCCCCCCCCCCCCCCCCCCCCCCCCTCCCCCCCCCCCCCCCCCCCCCCCCCCCCCCCCCCCCCCCTCCCCCGCAAAGCTACAAAGCTTTCAGGTTATCAAGCTATTACGGTGGAGACAGCTTCACTGCAAAGCACCAGTGTACAGCTCCCGACTCTGCATGGTCGTTCTCGGAATTCCACGTATTTTCGAGATTCTTCACGCTACAACTCGCGATGCACTCGAAGACACGCACAGCACAGCTCCTGACTCTTCGGTCCTGTCGTTCCCGGAGCTTAACACACTCTCTCGATAAGAATTCGTTCCAGAAGGTTCTCCATTCGTCAATGGTAAAACCAATTTTGTGGCTAAATGTCGCCAAATGGACGATTTCTCGCCAAATGTGGCAACCTTGCATTCTTTGCCATTTTATGGCAACCCTAAAACTGCTTTGCGGGGAAGCCATCTTACCGCGCCTGCACAATTCGTAACAGTATCATGAGTATTGTCAAACAGTTTTCGGAACAAGTCTAATATATTTGAAAGTAATAATTTTTGTGAAAGAAGACTGTAAATTAGTGTATGTACCGTTTCTAATCAATAATTGAATGAAAATGTTTTGGATAGATAGAACGGAGCCTCTGTAGAATGCTTCACTGGATGACTAGCATCACGGGACAATACCTGTATCATCATATGGGCAAAGTCCTGATGCCCTGTGTGCTTATTTCTGTCCTGTTTCACGATAAGCCCTCCTATTTATTTAAACGTAGTTGTTTACTGGACCAGCTATTTTCACTAAATAGGAAGACTGGCTATGGAAAATGCTATCAGTAGTTTGTGATAAATCATTTTTAAAAATAGATTTATATGTTCATTTGAAAGTTTCGCATCTAAAGTTTTAACTCGCTACGCGCACACATAAAAGTTACTAAAAATTTAATACCATGATTGGCCGCTTGTAATTTAAGATAAATTAAGATATGTTATCACATCAACAACATAAATCATTTTAAAGATGCGTTTTATACACTAAACTGCAGCGAAAAATCCATAAAAATGTTGCGAGAAAATCATTTTCCTTGAAACTCCAAATACATGATATATTTTCATGGTATGGTAAAAAAACTTCTGGAACTTTTTCTTTGAATATAAAATATACTGAAAAAGATTTTAAATCTTTCTACCAAGCCAAATTCTGCTTTCTTGAAGTTCTTAAGCTCCTTTTTTTCCTTTAATATTCATTTCTGGAAGCTGCTGATGCTTTGCAATGGCAAATCTCTTTTCTTGGAATTTCGAATTTATGATAGATTTCAGAAATATTTTCAAGAAATTTCAGGAATTATTTTGTAACATGAAACACACTACATTTTAAAACTTTAATATTTTTCCCCAAACTAAACCTTAAGTAAGATAATATTATTTAACTTTAGTCTTATATATTTTCATTAAACTTTTATCGATTTCGGGGACAACCAGAAACATGTCTCTTTTTTTTTCAGGAGCCAGAAAATTCGCTTTTATTACATCCAAAGCAAAAGTGTATTTTAACTTACTTCTAAGCGAAGTAATATCAGTTTAAATTAATTTTCTTCATCACACATTCTGATTTTTCAGTTTTGATTTATAAATTGTTTTTGAGGGAAGTTAAATATCTCGGTAAGAGAGGACGTATTGATACAGACATCGGCAAATAATCTCGCCTCTTCCCTGGATTTCACTCTGATAAAATAAAAAACTAGAAAAGTTAAATAACAGCTGAAAATTTTTAAATGTAATATTTCACACTAGGAGCGATTTGTTACAGCAGAACAAAAATTCTTAATACTTTCACTATTAACGCCATCTTTTGGGGCATATGTGCATAATGATTTTTACACCACTACTAAATTAAATTTACCAGGGCACAGATTTCTTGTGAAGTTCTGTCATATACTGGCCAGATATAAATTAAGCTCCGTACAGAAAGAAATACAAAATATTAGAAAGAAGTAGAGTTAAATGTAAAATGAGTTTGAACAACAAAAGCTATGGAGAAGGTCAGGCTGGAATAACATTACAAAATCTAGCCTGAAATTCATAGTTGTATACGCTCTTTACAAGTACCCATGTATACGCTCTTTACAAGAGCAGTAACAAAACAATAATAAATAAATAAATAAAAACCATATTTTCTACGTCACATCTTCTCGTAGATATTTTCAGAGAAACCAAAGTTAAAAGACCATAAAAAACGCAGTGGTTATCTGTGAGAAATGCATTTATGTTTCCTTTTCTGACAAGAGATTTTTAATATGATATCTGAATTTTCTGTTAGTTTGATCACTGCATGGCAGTCGATACTAATAATACATTACAAGTTTCTCAAGAATTAGAATCTGAAGGTTTTTAAAGACATAACCTATGACCACTTATACATAGATGTTTTCAAAAGCTGTACTTTTAGAAATTTCTTACAAAGCATTTTTCTTATTAAAAACGTTTTTTGAATTATATATTTAAACTAAATTGTTTGAATTAGGAAAATGCAGTTACACTTACGTATTTCGTTAAAATAGAAGGGAAATTCTCCCGGTAGAGAGCAGTTGAGACGCGCTTTCAAGAAAGAAGTCCATCGGTTCCGAAATTTGTGAGGTCCACCTTTATCTTTAGTACAAACTCGAGCTACCCTGGAGTATACGGTCTGCAAGAGAAAATAATGACACTGTATTACATAACAACGAGGAATTTGTATTAAAAACGCAAGAAATTACTTAGGGAGAAGAAGAATGTTTTTTATATATTTTCATACTCGGTCTTATGTAAAGCTATTGCTTCTATTAAAGTGTAACCCAAAGTACATTATTCCTAAATCAGTAATTAGTTAGCTACATAGTTAAATTTCTGCAAAGAGTGTACATATTTAAAAAAATACTTATTGAAGTTGTAGAAACATTGTAGGTATTCGTTCTGGAAGCAAGAGAAGAGATGAAAAATTAACAAAGACTTCGCCGGTAATTGAGTCGCGGACCTCTGGAATACCGACCCCCAGTGTGCAGACCACCACACCACGAAGGCATGCCAAATAGATGGTAGAAATACCTTATATACTCCCCTTTTAAAGGACGACTGGAGTTTTTAGGAGAACCAATCGCCAAACTGTGGGTGGGAAGAATTTATCATCCACCACCCTTTTAGTTCGGGCGCCACTGTATAGACATTACGTATTTTTTTTGGAAGCAAGAGAAGATGAAAAATTAACAGAGCCTTTGCCAGGAAACGAACCGCGGACCTCTGGAATACCGACCCAGTGCGCAGACCACCACACCACGAAGGCACGCCAAAAAGATGGGAGAAATACCTTATAAAGTAATACTTACCGCAATGAATTTATAAAACAATAGACAAATGTCAAAGTAAATTATTAATTGGGTAATAAAACACTAGATTAACGCATATTTTATATAAAACGGTTAATATAACAAATTATATTAAACTAGCTCAATATAGTTTATATAAACCAGATGAAAATTTTGCACACTTGTATGTTTGAATAACTTAAAATATAGTCACACTTTTTACAGTATGGCTTTATTTATATGCTTTTTCTATTTATTTTATGTATACAACTTTTCATTACTTGTTTTGCAATATCATAATTTATTTCATGTAGGTAAAATCATTTTGATGGAGGGAAAATTTAGCAAAACATTGGGAAAATTCTTCTTGTCTTACCCTGTATAAAGAGGCTCAGAAAGCGCTGGCAACAAGCAAGCATTTTTCATCTTAAATTCAATGAAAGATTAAATTAGAATTTTTAGGTGGCTGATTTTGATTAATTTCGCCACGTGGTTTGAGCGCCTTTATCATCAGTGTTTTTGTAGTGCATATCTGCCACTGAAATTAAGTAAATTGTTTCAATTAAAGGATAAATTTCTAGCACAGTATTTTGTAGCATTGCAGCGATCTTCTATTTCTTCTCTCTTATCATATTGGATATTATTATTAAGATCAGTAGACAAACAAAGTTAAGCGCTTCTCAACGCTAAGGTCGAGGTGGGAGAAAGAAACCAAAATGGAAAACTTTCTTTTGAGAAGAATAGGAGTCAATGATGTCCCACAAGAGCAAACCTTCTAGTATAGTAGCCTTACTTACTACCTTAATAAGTTAATAATAATAATCACCTTAATGTGACCTTAATAACGTTTTTCTTGCCATCAAGTTGCTTCTGTTAACGATTAATGAAGCATACTTAAACGCAGCAATATTAATGCGTACTACGCGTGCTATTAATTGTCTACACATTTCCATTTTTTTTTGTCAATCAAATGATGTAATATTTTCTATCAGTTACACTTTTAATGCACAGCAATTATTCAGTGTATAATGATCGGGCCTAACTCGTAGGGTCTAAGATGGCTTTGTATTTACGTAAAGATATTCATATGTGGTACAAGCGTAGTATGAAATTAACCAAATTTTGATTAAATAAAAACCACCTTCTTATCGACTCTTTTAAATCTTTTAGCCAAGTAATAAATTAACCCCAAAGAGAATAACTTAAAATATAATCACAATGGAATGATATTTTTATATCTCAAGCATAACATTCTCGTCCATGATTTATATGTGACTTTAGAGTTAAAACGTCAGTTTAACAACCAAGATATTAGTCAATTTTCTGAAATCGTGGTAGTCGTCAGAAACTGCTTGCACCTTCTAGTACTTTCGTGTTGAATATTCATGTGGCTGATTGGTGGGCGAGTCCAAAAATCATTTATCACAAGCATTATTGCTATCACTCAGAATACAGCCATCCTATTACTTGGGATAGAAATTATGTTGGTAGAAGGTTGAAATGAATACTAGTGCTAGAGACAGATTACTTTGAGGATATATTATTAAGCAATCTCGATGATGAATTAAGGCTTCGGTGTACTACTGCATTGTTGTTTCTCATCTGTTGCATTACTGCTTGATTATAATTTCTTAGAAATACAGCTAAGTAGGCATAACATATATTGTTCGTACGTATATTCAGAAACTGTACAATTTAGAAATAAAATATATAAACTAGATTATATTAAGAAATTCTTTAAGGTTAGCATTAGTTTTACCAACTGATGCACGCAGAATTACAACGAGAATAAGGTATTACATTTGAATGTAGAACTAGTATCAAGTGTAGATACAATACACGTATTACTTTTTAGACACATAAATTGTCTGAAAATACATTTGATATTGCTGCGTGCGTACGGTTTCGTGATAGATTGAAAGCACACGGGTCCAATGATTAGGTTGATAAAATTTATTTTATCAAAAGAAACACTTCAGAATTCTGGAATTTTATGCAAAAATAGTCGTACAATTCTTCACAGTACAATCAGTAGTTACACTTCAAATTACTAAGAACGTTAAACACAACACAATGCAAAGCGTATCTAGAGAGTAAAGTTAACCCGGATATACCTCAGTACTCCGAACTCATGCTGAACTAACAACTGAGAGCAGATGCTCTCTCCGGCCTTATAGTCTTCACGCGGCCGCCGGCAAATGTCTAGTACTTCTCGAAATTATTGGAAGGTTACAGATGCATATGAAAATAATTACAGTTGTTCAACTACAGTACCTATTACGATGATACAGAGACCGGACTGAAATGCTAGGAGGTTTAAGAATAAGGAAAATAATATAAAATTTTCCCCCCAAAAAATGAATATATAGAGTTTCTAGCTAAAGTGAAATATTTATGAATGCTATCGACATGTTGGTAGTCATAAATATAGATATCTGACATGCGGCTTTTACGATTATTTGCTGCTTATTCTTTCACACAAAAAAATTTTTCCTCTTCTGATATATTTAGCTGTCTACTGTATTTTATGTGACAAATATTTCCCCTCCTTCATTAATATACAAGCAACACTAAGTACGAATACGAAGTTTTCCATAAAACAACGTAACACATCAATTACAAACATAATTAAAATAAAATGTGCATCCTATTATTGACATCAACTGCATACTTTTGAAACAGTTTACTGAACCAAAAACATGGCTAAGCAAAAAATCTTTTATTTCGTTCTAAATATCAGTACAATATTCTAAATATATAACGTAATATTCTAAATAGAGTTTAGTTTAGTTTAGTGACGGAGAACGTGGGCACCATCCCTTGAGTAATATTCTAAACATAATTATAAATAATTTAGGTTAAAATAACATGCCGAGTAATAATTATTGGAGAAGTCAAACAACAAGACTCGGCGCTATATTTGTAAATTTTGCAGGACTAGTTTTTTTTTCACTTTGGCAGCTGAGGAAGATGGCTCTATATTTGAATTTATCGCAACTAGTACTGCAAAATTTACAAATATAACACTGATTCTTGTTGTTCAACTTCTCCAATAATAATTCTAAATGTTAACGTAAATTTTAATTTAACTCTTTTATTTCATTCTAAACTGCAGTATATATATTTTAAAAAGTAAGGAAAACTCTTCTTGAAAATATTTTGATACTTTTTCTAAAATTCAACTTGTTAAATTAGATCATTTCAGATTTTAGATTTTCATTTACAAATCAGATTTGAAAATTTTTGCTGATTTTTCATTAACTGAAAAATCATTCACATCATGGAAAACGTTGTAGAATCATTAAGTTTATCGATGGAGGAGGCGTGAAAAATATGCAGTGTCCTTACTGAGATTCGAAATCTGGACCTCACGATTACGTGCGGACGTGCTTCTAATTATACCAAGAAGGCACGTGGAAAGGAGAGAGAAAATACCTTATACACTTCCCTTTTAAAAAGCGACTGGAATGAAGGGACCCAGTCGCCAAATCCTGGTAATGACGAATTATCATCCACCACCTTTTAGTTCGGCCACCACTTGTACAGCCAATACGTTTATCGATGAAGTAGCCGTGAAAGATGTGCATTATCCTCGCCGGGATTGGAATTCTGGACCTCCCGATCAGCTTCGGACGTGCTTACACTTACACTACGAAGACACGCAGAAAGGAGGGAGAAAATAACTCAGTAGACTCAGCTAGTGAATTCAAAACTATCTTCCCGTTTAATTTATTTATTTCTTTTCATGCACTATAAAAATTTACTTTGCACAGCTAATAGTAATACAAGAATAATTTCAGTTCGTCATACAATTCATTCAGCCACGCAAGAATAATTTACAGGGAACTGATTCTTTCTAACAACATTTCCCTACCTATTTATCATTACAGAGCCTTTGAAATTATATTCATGCCCCAGGGATATACATAAACAATATATATAGTTAACCAAACATATAATTAGCTCATGCATACATCATTTAACATAAAATCTCTACAATTTTCTTGGAGTACAAGGGTTGAGGGAAACCCTAATTGAGAAATACTACTCCAGAAGACATCTTAAGTCATGTTTTAAACTGTCTTTTAATTTTCAATTAGTATCAGTGATAGATAATACCCGATTGATACTCTGCAATCTATGGCGTGCAGATCACTAATTCCTTTGCATATTATTACTAAGTGCTTTTGTATATTATTACTAATAATTTGGTTAAGGAAACTGAATGATTAGTTGTCTTATGCAAGTATTCATTACTTTCCTTATGTAGCATCTATTAATTAGTTTTATTCACCAAGCAGCAGTGTGAGGCTCTATATGGATGACACTTTTATCACAGTGTTTT